TCATTCCTTTATATGGATATTGATGGATACATTCCTGGAACAAGGTAATAGCCCAATATTATTGCTATAAGATATGTTGTAGCATTCAGCAGAATCATTCCACTCCCTTTTTCTTCGCTGTGAAGTTCAATGAGACATACACTAGTTTCAATTCCAGCATGTGCGTGAAATTTGATTCATCTTGGCATAAAGCATGTAGATATTACAGTCATTTCATAAATTCACAAAAAAACAACCCAGATCTCGTACTTTTGATGAAGTTCCAAAATGCATAAAAGTATTATAATATTAGAATTAGAATTATACGAGAAAAATATAAAGATGTATATTGACTTCAGGTATAATTTTCTGTCCTAACATTTTGTATCATTGGCAGATGATGTTAAACTTCAAACTAGAATTTAATTGTATGATCCTAGACCAGCACCTGATTAAAACAACAATTCATTAAAACATGATTTCTTACCTTAGCTGCATGAGGTTGTGGTCATCATAGATATACACTGGCTTTCCCTTCTGAATCCAACACAGCAACAGCTGCTGGCATGGTCTGTACTAACCGGCTGCTGATAGGCAGTGATGGCTTGGTGTGATAGATGAACACAGGATAATGATTATAGCTGCTATATCTGAAGCTGTGACATAATGAAATGTGTCAATAAGTTTGACATTTAGAGTCTTTCTTGGCAATGTTCAATATCATGCGTTTTTCTTAGTCTCAGAAAAGTGAAAGCTTCAGCATCACAGTCTAGATATAGATACAATAACCATTTTGGTCCTCTTTCCACATATTATTTTTAGACTTATTCTGTAGGCTTAATATTTGAATGGTTAATTTCAGAGAATATGTTTGTAATGTAAAAATGATTTATGCCTTGCATGTTATCAGATACAGTTAAACCTGCAACAGCCTTTTATGTACAATATTATGTAGATATGCATATTTATGTACATGTAAGCATCTGTTGGGAAATATAAACATAAATGTAAGAATAATGAAAATATAGTTACAATGACAGAATTAGTACTGAGTATGTTTTATTAATTTAAAGAAAGTGCTCACATTATTTTGTCTGCAGCCCAACCTATTAGTAGGTAAAACTTTAAGCTTTGAAAAATAAATGAATTAAATAAGTGTTTCAATTAATCTTCTTGGCTTGCTAATAATACTTTTATAATACTTTTAGGCAAGACCATTTTATTTCTTGTTTTATGAATCCGCCGGTCATATTTTTTCAAGAATAAGAAAAATAATATTTTTTACAATTTCCCCGCTCGAAAAATAAAATCCTAATGTTAAGAGCGAGACTTTGACTATGCAAGGCAGTTTGGTGGACACTAAAACACTGGTATTTGTTATTAGAGACTTTAAACTGAATTATCGAACAATATTTGGGTCTGAAATCAGTGCTTCAAGCACCTCAGAGAGTGTGAACTTGAAAAACAATGCCAACTCTTCTGGGGTTTTGCCTTGACTGGTGATTTTAAAAATAAATTGTATTCCCTCCTGCCTTTAGGTTTTCCGAGGACAAAAGTCCATAAAACAAGAAATAAAATTGGTCTGGTCTTATAATACTTTAGTAATACTATTAGAATACATAATCAACTGTCTGTAATCATTTTCTTTCCAGAGCATAACTAAAAAAACTTTCAATATTTTTCAACAAAAATTTGTAGATATATCAAACAGGACCTAAAGTGGTGCCTTTTGCTATTTGCAGAATTTTGGCATTTATATTTTTCGGGATTTCTATGGAAACAATTTGGACTAGGTCTAAAAAATCAATTGGGACTTTAAGTAACTGTCAGATGATTTGTTCTTTCAAATTTGTGGGGGCCGGGGGGATTTGTCATCTTCTGATGAATCTCGTTTATTCAGAAGAGCTACAGATCTTTGTCACAGTATTATTTTCCATGTATTTGTTGCTCACAAACTGGACAGCAGCAGTGTGATATTCTCAGCTCTGGCCACCTGGGTTCTGTGAGTAATGTACTAACATTAGGACATCTTCCTCCTCAGTGTCCAGTCATAGATGAGAAAAGACATTATTGTGTCACACAGACTGATTTGATTCATTGCCAGACATCATGCTATGCCGGCTTGTGTTTCTTTAGGTCTCTGTCATTCAGGGTCAAACTAGTTTCAGATGTGATATTCAGTATGGCATCCAGCTAAGGAACCCTGATTTAACTTGTTTACATTCAGAAATCATGTCAAGCATCTTTATCCGAATTGCTTTTGAAGTTGATTTATTACTGATGAATTAGTTTTGAATAGGTCAGAAAACACATAAAAATAAAGCAGTGTTTAATGTAGTTTAGTACATCAAGTGCTTATGACATGTTATGCCATGTGTCCTCCGTGTTGGTGTGAGAGTGTGTACACTGTGTGGGTACATATGTAGGTATGCATGATGGGATGCTCCTGTGATGTGTGATGCTCCTGTGACGTGTGATGCTCCTGTGGTGTGTGATGCTCCTGTGGTTTGTGATACTCCTGTGGACACACATCACAGGAGCATCACACATTCAGGAGCATCACACACATCACAGGAGCATCACACACATCACAGGAGCATCACACATCCAGCAGCATCACACATCCAGGAGCATCACACACATCCAGGAGCATCACACATCACAGGAGCATCACACATCACAGGAGCATCACACACATCACAGGAGCATCACAAACATCACAGGAGCATCACACATCCAGGAGCATCACACACATCACAGGAGCATCACACATCACAGGAGCATCACACATCCAGGAGCATCACACACATCACAGGAGCATCACACACATCACAGGAGCATCACACACATCACAGGAGCATCACACACATCACAGGGCATCACACATCCAGGGCATCACACACACATCACAGGAGCATCACACATCACAGGAGCATCACACACATCACAGGGCATCACACACACATCACAGGAGCATCACACACATCACAGGGCATCACACACATCACAGGAGCATCACACATACACAACAGGGCATCACACATCACAGGGCATCACACATCACAGGGCATCACACACATCACAGCATCACACACATCACAGGAGCATTACACACCACAGGAGCATCACATCATCCAGGAGCATCACACACATCCACAGGAGCATCACACACATCACAGGAGCATCACACACATCACAGGAGCATCACACATCACAGGAGCATCACACATCCAGGAGCATCACACACATCACAGGAGCATCACACATCACAGGAGCATCACACACATCACAGGAGCATCACACACACACAGGAGCATCACACATCCAGCAGCATGTACACACAGGAGCATCACACATCACAGGAGCATCACACACCACAGGGCATCACACACATCACAGGAGAACACACACCACAGGAGCATCACACACAGGGCATCACAGGAGCATCACACATCACAGGAGCATCACACACCACAGGAGCATCACACACACATCACAGGAGCATCACACACATCACAGGGCATCACACACATCACAGGAGACATCACACCACAGGAGCATCACACACATCACAGGACATCACAGCATCACACACATCACAGGAGCATCACACACCACAGGAGCATCATCACACACCACAGGAGCATCACACACATCACAGGGCATCACACACCACAGGAGCATCACACACACATCACAGGAGATCACACATCACAGGAGCATCACACACCACAGGAGCATCACACACACACAGGAGCATCACACATCACAGGAGCATCACACACATCACAGGAGCATCACACACCACAGGAGCATCACACACCACAGGAGCATCACACACCACAGGAGCATCACACACACCACAGGAGCACACACACATCACAGGAGCATCACACACCACAGGAGCATCACACACACACAGGGCATCACACACACCACAGGGCATCACACACATCACAGGGCATCACACACCACAGGAGCATCACACACATCACAGGAGCATCACACACCTCATGCATACCGTCACAGGAGCATCCCATCATGCATACCTTCATACGTACTCACCCAGGAGCATCACACTGTGGAGCTCCAGGAGCTCCTGTGAGGTGATACTTCTGTGATGTGTGATGCTCCTGTGGGGTGATACTTCTGTGACGTGTGATGCTCCTGTGGGGTGGTACTTCTGTGACGTGCGATGCTCCTGTGGGGTGATACCCTGTGGTGTGTGTGATGCTCCTGTGGGTGATACTTCTGTGACGCAGATGCTCCTGTGGGTGATACCCTGTGGTGTGTGTGATGCTCCTGTGGGGTGATACTTCTGTGACGTGTGATGCTCCTGTGGGGTGATACTTCTGTGACGTGTGATGCTCCTGTGGGGTGATACTTCTGTGGTGTGTGTGATGCTCCTGTGGGGTGATACTCCTGTGGTGTGTGATGCTCCTGTGGGGTGATACTTCTGTGACGTGTGATGCTCCTGTGGGGTGACACTTCTGTGGTGTGTGTGATGCTCCTGTGGGTGATACTTCTGTGACGTGTGATGCTCCTGTGGGGTGATACTTCTGTGACGTGTGATGCTCCTGTGGGGTGATACTCCTGTGGTGTGTGTGATGCTCCTGTGGGGTGATACTCCTGTGGTGTGTGTGATGCTCCTGTGGGGTGATACTTCTGTGACGTGTGATGCTCCTGTGAGGTGATACTTCTGTGACGTGTGATGCTCCTGTGGGGTGATACTTCTGTGACGTGTGATGCTCCTGTGGGGTGATACTTCTGTGACGTGTGATGCTCCTGTGGGGTGATACTTCTGTGACGTGTGATGCTCCTGTGGGGTGATACTTCTGTGACGTGTGATGCTCCTGTGGGGTGATACTTCTGTGAGGTGTGATGCTCCTGTGGGGTGATACTTCTGTGACGTGTGATGCTCCTGTGGGGTGATACTTCTGTGACATGTTGTGCTCCTTTGGTGCATGTGATGCTTCATGTTGATATTGGTATGAGTGAGAACTTTGACTTGTTTGTTGCAGGCAAGTGGGCAGATGGGCAGATCTTTGCTGCAGTTCACCTGGAGCCTCAGGTTCCATTCTGATGTGTAAGTAGTTGTGACAGTCAGTAGCAGTACATTCACATATCATACTAAGGTCTGGTGTTATACTATTGGGTGCAGAACTAGCAAATAGTCTCTTATGTGATCCTGTCTCCATGTCAGTAGTCATGTTAGTTTCTATGCCAGGGAGTACTGTTTGCCACATCAGAGTGACTTTGAATGTATTCATGTATGTTTGTTCGCCAAGCGGTGCTGTTTGCCACATCAGAGTGACTTTGAATGTATTCATGTATGTTTGTTCGCCAAGCGGTGCTGTTTGCCACATCAGAGTGACTTTGAATGTATTCATGTATGTTTGTACGCCAAGCGGTGCTGTTTGCCACATCAGAGTGACTTTGAATGTATTCATGTATGTTTGTACGCCAAGCGGTGCTGTTTGCCACTTCATAGTGACTTTGAATTTATTCCTGTAGGTTTGTACGCCAAGCGGTGCTGTTTGCCACATCAATGATCATCCTGGTGGTTCCATGTCACAGTCTAATATCAGACCTGCAGGTGGAGGTGACCGAGATGAAACTGTGGCTGGAAGGTAGGTGGTTGGTACTGTCTGGGGGCCAGGCTAATAACTTGTCCTGTCATTGTTGTTTCTCTGCCTACAACATAGTCAGTAGAACTTAATACACCTGTTTGTCCATTGTCTGCCCTCATGTCTTCTGTATGTGGATGAAACTTTCTATGTCACCCTGTGGGTATGGCCATCACATGAAAAGGTTAGGAGTGACCTTGTGCACCGAGATTCTGGAAGCTGAACCTATGTCTCATGGACATGACCTCTCCTGCAAGCTTTCCCTATCCCTGATGACATGTGGAAGTTAATTTTTGTCTGTAGAACATCGACTCACTCCCAACATTTTTTACAATAATGCAATAAACATATTGCAATAATGAAACCACTATCATGAGCAGATTTACAATTTGGAGGTGTTTTAAGGAACTCATCATATATATTAAGTACTGACATATCATTAAAAGTTAACAAGGAAGAATCCTGATTTGATGTATATTTGTGTACAACATCACCATATGCATCACACATATGATACAAAATAATGTTTATCTTCAGTACCATGTATACTCAATAAATATGTCTTCTTGATTCCCAAATACTGATACCTGTGAAGATCCAGGTTAGAATTGATCTTCAGTAAGGCATGCTTGTCGTAAAAGCCAACTAATGGGATCGGGTGGTCAGGCCCCCTACCTTGCATGACACATGTCATCGTATCCCAAATGCATAGATTGATGCTCATGCTGCTGATCACTGGATTGTCTGGTCCAGACTTGACTATTTACAGACCGCCGACATATAGCTGGAATATTGCTGAGTCCTGCCTTTAACACCAACCAACCAATGATACCTTTACCGGTACCAACAGTGTGCACCTGTTTAAAATTATTCTTGTTAATTTAACTTACCTGCTCAATGATATCAGAGTTCATAGGTACATCAGTAAGGTTTCAAATCTTACGTTAGTCAATTCATCCATGGCTTACCTCCGATCTTTGTATGACAGGGCTAATGGACAGAGACCCTGACTCCGAGTGCCGAAAACTGGCACTCCAGGCCTTGGTGCTGCTGGGGAATGTGGTCAAACAGGTATGTTGATATAGTGTTTTATTGCTATCAAAGTTAAAGCAGTTGCTTGTCATGCCTAAAGACCCAGGGTCAATTCCCTACATGGGTAACATATGAAGCCCATTTCTGATGTTTCCCGACATGATATTGCTGGAATATTGCTAAAAGTAGTGTAAAACTCACTCACTCTGCTTGTATTAGGTGTGTGTTCCCACAAACAGGCATGTTGATATAGTGTTTTGTTGCTATCGAGGCCTAGAGTGAAGTCTGTCATATTCTGCTTGTGATGTGAAGCTGCAGTCAGCTATGCAGTCAACTACAAGAGAAACACAATCTTTGCTAGCCATACAACAGAAGTCTGAACCTTTTAAGATGTACAAATAATCAATTTCCAAATTTTCTCAGCTAACAATTTGTTAAATCAAATATATTTTCTTTTAATTTCTTCAATATACACACACAAAAAAATATATATATATATATATTCTCTTTTAAATCATTTGGATGCAGAAACACAATAACTGAAGAAACACATACACATCTCTGTTCTGCCACAACAACATATGGTGAGCCCTGGACAAAACATGGAGGTCATCTCACTACTTGCAAAAGTGCTTCTGATGATGTTTGCTATATGGCTGAAATAATGCTGATACGATGTTGAAGCTTCGCTCAACAGGGTATGAATTTTACAATATAACTGCATAATTTTAAGCAGCTACCTACATTTGGACTGGCCACCTCCGTATACTAATTGGTCCAAGTATATTATCCTTTTCCCAAGGACACATGAACACTTATGCTGACATTTTTAAATATTACAATTAACTGTTACATGTATTTTCACAACTCCATTTGAAATGTTTCTGCATTTATATGATGCGGTAAACATTTATTGATCTCAATTCTGCAATGTCATGGAACCAAGAAACTAATACTGATTGAAGCTTACATAACTGAACTTAACAACCTAGCTATACATCATATGGTATCAACTGGTTATATAATAATCCTAATTCAAGGAAATGCTTTCTGTCAAACTGAATTTAAGACAAACACTATATTCAAGTCAGCCCGCCAGATGTACAATGTTTGGTACAGTTTGTGCCTTGAACTTGTATTGAAAAGGAAACATACTGTAGTTAAAATATTGTGGACTTGCAGTCTTACTGACTTTTGTTACACAATAAGATTAGGTTTTCTGATCAACATCTCAAATTACCTACACACATTTATGGACAAGGTTAATCTGAGACTCAGTGATTTACTTCATGTGTAGAATAATGGTTTAGGCTCCGGGGGCTTGATCAGTAATGTTATCCGTAAGCTGTGGTCATAATGATGTCACTAATGTGTTCCAGGTGGCCAGTATATTGGCTTGTCAGTGTTAATGAAGAATGAGTAAGCAGTCAGTTGCATGTATGGAGGGTTTGTTCAGTATCTCCCAATACCATTGGAGATGGTTCAATATGTACTGTTTCAAGATTTTGTGTATAGTTCATTCATGTGGTGAGAAACAAATGAACTTTCAAACTGTTAAATTTATTACGTTAGTCAACTTGTATGCCGATCTCCTGAGACTTGATGTGTGTTAATGGGGGGAGCTGCAGGTTATGTGACCGGTCTGCACAGATGTGGTCCAACAAATTCACCTTTTGAACAGAATAAACTACAGACTGAAACATGTTACGCTTCTCATTCTTCAGTGGTCATAGCATCTGGCACAATTCAAGGAAATGGTGTATGTATACTTAATAGTGGGACTCAACTTACATGTTCCGTTTCTTTAGATATTTCAAGTTCCTCCTTCCTCAAATCATCTTTCTGAGAAAGCATTCTTGGCTCTTGGATTTAAATTTCTTTGGCAACCAATGGACCAATGAAGCAGAGACATCTATGCTTGTTTACAGATTGCATATATCAAGGAGAATACAAAGTTGTCAAAAGACAGTAGGATGTTTTGTGTCATTTTGATACCCAAACTTGGAAACAACTACAATTTGATTAAATTGTATGGCATTATAAACACACTTGTAAAGTTACACCCTGAACCTTTGTATTCAGAAACTTTGACAGTTTGGTACTTATTATAAACTTGTTATATGATATTATGTATACATTGTTACATGTTACATTTGTGACTGCAGTTTGAGAAGTGTTCTTGAAATATAATCATTTCAGATATATTTATTGCCAGTATTTATATATTGCCAGTATTCACTGATGTTTAGCATGTCAATTTCATGACTAGGTGAGCTGCAGTTGATGCGGAACAATGTTTGTCAAATATTGTTGTCTTGTTGCAAGCTGAATGTTGGAGGAAGTTCCTCAAAGAGATTTGAATATTCATAACAGTTTATGTCAGTGTGTGATCAGCTAAATATTGAGGTGTGTTTATTCCCTACAGGAGCTCCATACCGAATCATGACTTACAAATCTTCCCACAAGAGATGATCGCAGTAGATGGTTGATGAAGAATGTCTCCCAGTTGCATGCTGGACAATCTCCTGGCAGTAGTAGTCGTCAGGACAAGAAGGAACCAGAGGTGCCCCCCTGTGGAGGTCATAGGGTCAAGGTGAACCACGGGAACCCATGTAAACTGAGAACCACATTACTTACCACACATTAAGAATGGTGAGAAACATGGTGTCAGAATTAAATAAACATATGAAATTAAAATAATGTTTTTATTGCAAAAGGAGCCCCTTGGATGCCAGGACTGGTTGTGTGAGTCCAGAATTATTATTGACCTCAATTATGTTCCTTTATTGGTTTGTTATCTTACCAGTGCCAGTTTGGGGTTCTTGTAGTGGATGCCATCAAGGACCAGTACTTGGTGGGACCAGCTGTGCAAACTGGCACCCTGTTACCTGGCAACAAACTATTCCACCTTTAGGTCATAAATTTGGTTACCCAGCTATGTGAACTGTTTCAAAAACCTTCTGGTCTATGCTGAAAAAAATAAACGGACAAGCGCATTTGGGAAATAATATACAAACAGAAGATTGGTACAGCCATTTTAGTAACTTGTTCTCTGACTGGGATGACAGTGAATCATGTGACCAGTCTGACACAGGAGTGAGTAATTCTGATCATTCTGAAATTAATTCAAGCTTCGTAGAAGATATTCTTGACACCTCAGTTACTAAGGAGGAAATACTTCATAGTATCACAAACTTAAAAGGTAATAAATCTTCTAGTATAGACTCTACCATATCTGATTTTTTTAATCACTTTACAGATTTACTATTGCCACTCTTAGAACTGATATTTAGTATCATCTTGGAAAAGGGATACATGTACCCAAATCCTGGTGCACTGGCATAATAGTTCCTATACATAAGAACGGTGACCTGAAAACTATAGGGACATAAGACTATTAAGCATATTTAGCAAAATATTTACATCTACAATAAATAAGAGATTAGTTAAATGGGCAGATACCTTAGACAAGATAACAGAATCACAAGCTGGCTTTGGAAAGGGATACACCACTATTGAAAACATATTTTCTTTACATTCTATTATTCAGAAATATCTTTATCAAAAGGGACACAAATTCTATGTCTTATTTGTACATTTTTCGAAGGCATTCGATTCAATAAACAGAAATACTTTATGGAATCTCTAAGACAAGCAAGGTGTCAGTTGCAAAATGGGAAAATTACTGCCAAATATATATGACAATGTGAGAATTTGTGTAAGGAGTAATAATGAATTATCAGATACATTTGTGAGCCAATTAGGAGTCAGGCTAGGCTGTATATTTAATGATAAATGATTTAGCAACCCAAATCCAAGAAAACTGTTCAGACAGTATCCTATTACATCCAGATATAATACAAATATTCCTGTTACTATTTGCCAATGACATCATATTGTTTTTCAAGCACAATTAAAGGCCTAGAAAGAGAGATTATTGAATTAGATAATTATTGTGATAATGGAAACTAACTGTAAACCAGGCTAAAACATATATAGTCAAAATATGTCCAATTTTGTTATATACTGCAGACCTATGGGGTTTTCAAACGTTTGATGTTATAGAAAAAGTCCATTTGTATGCATGCAAGAGATATCTGGGCGTAAACACAGCCACGTCAACTTGTATGGTTTACAGAGAATGTGGAAGATATCCATTGAAATGGAATCAAATATAATAATTATTAGATACTGGTTAAAATAATTAACAATTCCTTCATATTGATTGCCAAGAAAATGTTATGATATGATGATACTATATGATAGCCTTGGAAAACGTAATTAGGTAACAGACATAAAACACTTGGTATCAACTGTCCGCGATGACTGGCATGAATCTTATTCTCATTTTGTCTTTTCAGTTAAACAAAGACTTAAAGATATATTCCTTTAAAATTGGTGAACTCATCTCTCATTATCTAATAAATGCTATCATTACAAAATGATAAAATATTCCATATATACAGAAGATTATCTTTCAGTTTTGACCATAAGGGACCGTTCATAATGACCCCCAGTAAAATTTCATGTGCAAAGTAAGTGACCCCACCATGTCAAGTACAAAATCAATGACTCCTCCTTCCTATAATATTTAAGCATAATTTAAAAAATATGTTTGTACAAAATTGCTCTCTCACTCACTCTCACACACACACTCTCTCTCTCTCTCACACACACACACACACACACACACACACACACACACACACACACACACACGTGTACAAAATTCATCATATTCAAAGTATTCGGGCAACCTTTCCGCCAATGTGAATAAGAATTATTGTCGCCGATTTCATTCGTGAACGTCAGATGACATTGGGAGAAGCGATTGTAAAATCTTCACGACGTTAACAATTGATTTGAAGGTTGTCTTATTTGGAAAGACTTCCGCCCGTATCCCCCCTTCAATTTCATTCTAGTCAAATCATATCACATGAATATATATTCTTCATCTGATAAGGATGAGTTTTAGTACGTTTCTTTGATTGTATCTGAACATACTGAAATACTTATGCAACTTCTAAAAATGCCATTCAAAGAATTTTTTCCTCATCGTTAACATTTAGAGGGGGATACGGGCGGAAGTCTTCTCTATTATTTTTCCGATACGCTGAAACATGAGTGATTTATCCCCGTTAAGAGAGCTTGTTGTGTAAACATAGCGAGATCAGTAGTCAGTTAGGAATCGTGAACTTGGGAACAGTTGCTTCCCTTTGACCGCCATAACAGAGTACAGCTGACTGACTGACTGACTGACTGACTGAGTTTGGTTTTACGCCGCTTTTAGCAATATTTAGCAACATCACGGCGGGGGACACCAGAAATGGGCTTCACACATTGTACCCATGTGGGGATTCGAACCCGGGTCTTCGGCGTGACGAGTCAACGCTTTAACCACTAGGCTACCCCACCGCTCCGAGTACAACGGAATTGTACAACGGAAGCACAAAACTACTGGCAGTTGTATGCAGAAACAGGATCCCTCGACAAAAAAGCTTGGTTTGAGTAGATTTTATTCTGTCACAAATTCGAATTTCTACATGTATGTGGTTATCCTGTAGTGAATGAACTTACAATATTTCCAAGGATATTTTCAGCAACTCTAGAGGATGACCTCAAACTGCCGTTTACCCTCTCCAGAAAATATTTTCTCAGAATATTAAACTATCATGCACTTCTCATCGTCAGAATGTTTATGTGATTAACATCTCTTTGAACCTTACAACTAATAAGGTATCGTTCGATTTGTGATCTGAGATGAAACCTTATCCGCGACTGAATAAGTTAAAGTCGCCCCTTCAATATTTTAACCATGAGTTGTAAACCCGAAACCAGCGTACTCCTATCTAAGACACTCAAACCGCACGATTAACCCATTTACGTCTTTCTTAGAATTCAAGGCTATCATATTCATTCATTAGTAAAATACATGTCCTTGTTTCCCAAAGTCCGTACACACTCAGTCCGGCTTAATCTTGGCTGTGTACGAGTTTGTGACAAAGTTGTGTTTCTTTTGTCTCCAAACGAGTAGTGTCTGGTAATGCTCTCACTTTACGATATTGCTGGGGCTTTAAACGTGTGATATCTTGTTCAGCCTGTACAATGGCTGACCAAAATAATGCTAGTCGTACCAACATTGGTGGCCATTCTTCTTACGGGAAGGTCAGGTCCACGAGAAAAGCAGGATTTTGAAAATGAGGACATGTCAAGCGAACAAATCTTTAATTTAAACCAACTGCTCTCGTTCCTTTGAAGTCTGAGTTAAAGAGACTTTACTTGTATAGATCGAGCACTGTAATTATGCCTACAGACATTGAGGGCTTTTCAGGAGTATAGATTCCCGAGCACCCGTGTCATTAGTCGCGACCACGCCCACTTTCTACCCCCCTGACCCACTGAAGGAGGGTGTGCGTTTCACCATAAGCTAGATTAACAGTTTACACGGTAAACAAATAACTCTATGACCACCCCGCCGTATGTGCGAGCTGGTCACGCAACTAACGACCAAACCCGATACGCTCGTAAACAAGCAATTTTACGGTGATTGCAGTTCTAAAAGGATTTGTAGTAAAGTTCAGTGGAGATCCCTTTGCCCTGTTTTGTGATAAATCACCAACATGAATGTCATGCCCAGAAATGCTCGGTAATATGAATGCGTGCACAGTCATGGATCGACCTCTCTGTCCTGCACGTGCGCCCGGGCCCGCATGCTGTAGGTCATGTAGTGCGTCAGCGGGGCAGTCCAGGATCAGAGAGGCAGAATCCCTGGGGAACAGATACAGTTGGTTTTCGAAAACAATCTTGGTGTACCTTGCTTTAATGAACCGTATCAATAATCCATGTATATTATTCTTTTGAAGATTTACTCATTGGTGATGATTGTGACCTTCCTAGAACAAATGTGGACATGAAGATCATTCAATCCAGGATGTATTGATATAAGCTACTGGATGTGTTTGTTCCGTGGGACACTGGCTTTGGTTGTATTAGGTGTTTACGTTGACATTTCTTAGTTTGGGTATTGGTTTCGTCCTTGACCTGGGTATTCCTGTCATAGTATCGTCGTTTCGCCGTGCTGATAGTGTCCTGTACCTTGACTAGGCCATAACATACGACACGAGTTGTCAGTCGCTCAAGTAAATCGACGATAAGATCGTAGTTCAGAACGCCACCATTCCCATGACGTCATAGTGGCGAATTTCGGAGCAGACGATAGATCCCTGTATTCCATGTTTTTGTGTGGGAGTCCAATATAATGTATACCATAGCTGTGTGTCATGCTATCATGCCATTTGTGTGAGATTGCTGTGTGTCATGCTATCATGCCAAGTGTGTGACCTGGATGTATGTCATGCTATCATGCCAAGTGTGTGAGATTGCTGTATGTCATGCTATCATGCCAAGTGTGTGACCTGGATGTATGTCATGCTATCATGCCAAGTGTGTGACCTGGATGTATGTCATGCTATCATGCCAAGTGTGTGACCTGGATGTATGTCATGCTATCATGCCAAGTGTGTGGGATTTGCTGTATGTCATGCTATCATGCCAA